CCCCCGCCGCCTATGGGAGGGCCGGTACCGCTGCCACCGCCTCCAGCCGGTGGTTGGAGTTCGCACAAAGCGGGTTAGTGTTATTTCTAGTATCACAAAAAATTAGTTTTATTTATTTAATCAGAAAGCACTTTTTTGTTGATGTAGTGAACCCTCCCGTTCCAGTGTCCTTAGGTAAGAACTTTAAAAATGGACAAAGATGCTTGCTTAAGGCCTTTGGGAATAGCTTTTTAACACTATGTGCTTCTTTCATTGCTTTATTGAGCAAATTTTATTGTTTGAGAATAGCTGAGGTTAAACTAGGTGTTTTTAGGATTGCGGAAAGCCACTTTAAATCCAAAAGTACCGATGAAGCCTTTGTATTGGACCAGAATCTTAGCACCTGCTGGAACAGATAATGTGGATTCTCCTTCATCTGATGCTCTTTGGACACAAATAGATGAATTACCTTTAGATAGTTTAAATGAATTCGTAGATTTATTTTCGAGGCAAGTTATTACGAGAAAACCTACAGTGAAAAAACAAGAACAGAAAACTAAAGCTGAAGCTGTTAAACTTTTGGATAGTAAAAGATCACAAAATGTTGGAATCCTTGCTCAAAGTTTACATGTAGATTTCCAAGAAATAGAAAATGCAATTTACAATTTTGATACTTCAATCGTTAGTTTAGAAGCTTTGCAACAAATTTACGAAGTTGTAAGTAGGTATTGAAAACTTGTGGAAAGAATTGACTGAAATATTTTTTTAGAGAGCAACTGCAGAAGAATTAGAACTTATAAAAAAGCATTTATCAACGAAACCTAACATACCATTAGACAAGCCTGAACAGTTCTTACACGAATTATCTGAAATATCAAATTTTGCAGATAGAATTGCCTGCTTAATGTTTCAAGTTGAATTTGACGATTCTATCAATACTATAGGTCATACGTTAACGAATATAAAAACTACTTGTGATGTAAGTCTTTCCCAATGAAAAACAACTTCCTAAATATTTTTTCCAGTATTTGGTTAATAGTAATGAATTAAAAGAAGTTTTTGCAATAATTTTAACTTTGGGAAATTACATGAACGGAGGCAATATGACACGTGGGCAAGCTGATGGATTTGGATTAGAAATCTTGTCAAAATTAAAAGATGTTAAATCGAAAGATTCCAAAATTACCCTTCTTCACTACATTGTCAAAATTTACATGAAAAAAATTGAAAATCCGTTTGAACCTAATGTTGTATTACCGGTACCAGAACCTGGAGATATCGAAAGAGCAGCTTCGGTAAATTTTGATGATGTCAAAGTAAATTTACAAAAACTGGAAAAACAATTAGCAGGTAAGCTCTAGAACTAACTCATCAATTCTAAATACTTAAGTAAAATTTTAGAGTGTGAGAAAAAAATTGAGAAAGTGATTGAATCATCAAACCCCGATAATCTTCAACCTTTCAAAGATAAAATGACAACATTTCTGGAACATTCGACAAAACAACTTGCAACAGAATTCGAAAATTTGGAAGAATGCAAAGTTAAGTTTATCAAAACGATAAAATTTTATCTGTTTAAGCCAAAATCAGGATCTTTGGAAGATTATCCACCAAATTCATTTTTCGAAATGTGGTTACCATTCTGTATTGACTTTAAAGATATCTTTAAAAAGGAACTGATCAGAATGGAAAAAGAAAAGTATTTATGTTTTACTTGATTTAATTGTGTCATAAATCGTTGTTACAGGATTCAAGAAATCAAGAAACGCGAAAACGAAAGAGCTTCAGAAACAATAAAGATTAAGGAGCGCGAAAACGGATTAAAGTCGAAAATCAAGAAACTCCAAGCTAAACACGCTTCACAGGTGGAGACCAATAATAATTAGTTAATAATTATACAAAGTTAACTTTGCGTTATGTATTTGTTACAAGAGTAAGTTTTATTTATTGTTTCATGTCGAATATTACTTCTGTTACTAATAAAAWTTTTAAGAAAAATCGATTTATTTTACCAGTAATTTCTGTAACCGTTTACACTTTGCGCCGTTTGCAATAAGGGTAGTATCTCCTCTCGCACACTACTGGTAAAAGATTCGCGACTTTGAGGACTCCGAGCGGTGGGAAAAGAACCCTCGACTTTCCTCCATGGTAAAATAATTTTTTCAGAGCCGTTCCTCCACCTTCTATAGACCATGCAATTGAACAAAGCTTGCAATGGATTCATTAGTGCCTTAAAAAAGTGCCTTAAATTGTATTCCTATCCCTGTTCTTATTTTTACCATAATATACCATATGGCAATGATCCATTCAGCCGGCAAATGGAACCAAAGAGTCCACAATAAAATACCATTGAGAAGATTCGGTACCCAACATAAATAAAACACAAAATTTATCACAGAAAATTTGATTTTTATGGCATCCAAAATTTCTCGTTCTCTGCTTGTGAACTGACCAGAGGCACTCGTTATGATCTCTTCCATATCTTTGCTGGAGTGATGATAAAGATATGGGTTGGCTATCATTACAGTTGCAACAGGGACATAAGTAGCGATGTAATTTGGTAAAATTCGAAGAATCGCAGCGTTTAAAGATGATGCAGTGTGGCAACTTAAATGATGAAAKTAGTGTTTAGAAGTTTATAAAAAACTATAAATTACTTGGCATCAGGTAGGTATAAAAGTGATAATCCAACTGTAGTTAAAACTGCGGGCAAAATCCATGCCACTAGATGGTAATATAAAGTTTTTGATGCTTTTTCGCTTAGTATCAGCCGCATATCGATGGCATAAATTAGTGTCCATATCCAGGTTGCGGTATAAAAATATTGAATTAAAGCCTGAAACAACAAATGAATAGAAAAAAGTAAAAATAAAAACTAATTACTGAAGAAATGGCACAAAATACAACACTGGAGTCATCTTCAACTGCCGGCATAATATTTTTATAATTTATCCATATTGTTGACCTTGTAAACACTCCTAGATATTTTTAACTATTAAGTCAGTCAAACTTGGTTTGATAACTCACCTAATGAAGCTAAAAGATCAGCGACTGCTAACCAAACGATAATTTTCCGTCCTCTCGCTGCAGAAAACGACAACCACCTATGCTTATTCGCAAACTCCTGTCTTGGCAAAATCTACAAATTCAAAATTAGAGACACCAAACCGGAAGTTGCACTTACCTGATAAATAGCGCCCAAAATCCCTAAACACGATGAGAAAAGACACACTGCATTATACGCATCGGTATTAAACTCTTCCATAATGGTCACAGCCATATCGGTGCCATTGGCATGATGACAGCAGAAAGTCTGTATGGTAGGGTCAGCCATACTTACAAAAATCGAATAAACTCGAGAAAAAAGAGCACAAGGAAGCCATAAAATAAAGGACGGTTAAAATTTCACATCGATCGGAAATTTCTTCGATTTACATCTTTCGCACATGTTATTAAGTGTAAGAGATACCGCATTTTAATGAACTGAAAACCTCGAAGTTATCAGTTTCCGATACATATACTCGATATCTGTTTTAAGAAAAAGTMGAGATTTGTTTGCACAGCCGGAGAGAGTGTGTTACTACAGATTTGAGAAATTTGTGTTTTACTGATAAAGYTGTTACGTTCCAGAATTTTRTTTTTAAGTAAATAGTAGACAAAGATGCAATGACGGATTTGTTGACGGTGGTATTTTATCATTTGAAGGCGGTGGAGGGTCTACGATTTATTTACTTCGCGTTTATCTATCATATCGTTATTTATGTTGGTACCTGTAACAAATGTCTCTTTTTCGAACAGCGTAAGAAAATAAAAACGATTTATCCTTCAAGATGTGAGTGTTAAAAATTCTTACTCAGCATGACTGCAAAGGAAAATCCAAGATACCTATTGTAGATTATGTAAGCAGCAATGCGTTAAATGTATTTCTTTTATTTATTATTACTTTAAGTAATTAACTTCCTTGATTGTCAGTGTCACTCTTATTATAATCTTGAATGTTTGTTTTAAAAAAGTCTGAGATTTCAAGAATGTAGACAGACTAATTCTTTAAAAAGTAAATTCATATTCATTTGCGTCATTACAGGCTTTCTTCAAATTTATTCAATTATATAACATATACACGTATAATGTAAAGAATTAGAATTTTATTTATGTGTGACTTCCTAATGCAAATAATTTCTAGTGCAAATTAGCATGATTACACGTAAAACACCTAATTTTCTAATGATTGAACACCCATAATAAGTCACAATGTATTAGAAGGTTACTTACTAGTATGTATAAGCGGTCATCTGTAGCCATTTTTGTTTAAATAACAGGCTCAAAATCTGCGGTTTTACTATCTGGAGGACAGTCAGTTGTACCATTTTGCTCATAAAAGAAACTGGTGACTTGCGAGTGCATTCAAACGGTCTCACATGAGTAATCTCGCGAATTAATTCTGTTTTTTACAAATACAAGGACTTACCTTGTTTTTAAACCATTTCCGCCAACAATTCAACATTACGAACTAGTTATTGCTTATTAATATCATAAAATCTTWAAAATATTGCAAAATTGCAAATTAAAAACTGTTTTTYTTAATACAAGATTGTCAATTGTTCAATATGGCATAGAGCACTGGCCTTTGTCGCCTACATATGTATAGAGCATTTAACAAGTTTTGGGAGCTACAATCAATGCTTATTGCTCCATTAATGACGTTGAAAATTTGCAAATAGAAGYAGAAAAAAACTTTGTTTTTAATGTATCGTCCCCTTAGTGCAAYAACTAAAAGATAACTAAAAATAAAATTAATAGTTTTGRGAAATTGCAGTTTAAAAATTTGAAAGGCAAAAAAAMCACATCCTGCAAGTAATCAAAAATTATTATTAGTCTATGTTTTTTTTTTAATTTGATAGAAAATTTGGTGTTATGTTTTTGAAGTATTGCAACAAATACTTGAGAAATGTCTAAAATTTAAGTTATCTAGTTATTGCACTAAGGGGACGAATATAGCTTAATAGAAAGGATTATCAGATTTTAAAATGTTACAATTTTCTTGAATGTATTATTTTTTCTAGTAGGTAAAGGTAAAGAGGAAGGTGAACAATCGTTCACAGACCAAATGAGAAAAAATGCCACTTCTGAAACTACTAATATGAATATCATTTCACTGTAAATATTGATGTTCAGCTCTTTTATCTGGAAAGAAGATCGTTTAGGAATGAAGACTTATCTGAATTAATAACAATGAAAGCAACAATTTTTAAAATATTTATGGGAAATGATAAGTACATACCATGATAATCACAATTATTTCAAAAACATAATAAAAAATGTGTTCTGTTTGCAAATAGATTCGTTATMATTTTATGTGATGASAAGAATGAGGTATTGTGTAYATACAGGTTACCTTGGTCTAGAAAAGAAGACCTAAGAACGGTTGGATTAGAATYMTTTATAAATTACCTACTTCATATTTATTAATTAATGTAATTTAGAGCAGTGGGAGTATTAAAGATTAGGTACAAATTACAATAGTAAAAATATAAATAGTAATGAGTACACAGTACACAACTCCGAGTGCGTTTTCAAAGGTCAAGTCTTCGTAACTTCTCATAAAATGTAAAATCTTGCACATCCGGTAGATAAGATTAATGTTTTTTTACCTTCCACAACTTCTAAATATGTAAGAGTAAAAATAGTACGTAGAATTAAAGAAAAAGCCTTTCTCGATATTTTTCAAGTTATTATACAATATAATAATTTCATAATTTCTAGTCGCATAATAAGTAAACACACAAAACTAATTAAAAAAAGCTATTTTAAATCGTAACAAAACTCATTTCAAAAACTTACCTCCAGTATTCTTAAAAAAAATTACACAAATAGAAAAATCAACTAAATTTAAAGATTGAAAATTAAAGAAATAATGCAAGTTTAAATTATTGTAAGCTTTTATTAAATATCATAATTTATTTTTTTATTAAAAGTAAGGTAACTGCCGCGAATTATTAGCCTAGTTGTACAAAATAAACATGAAACATAGAAATCAGGAACAGAATCTTATCAAAATTTGCAAATTCTACATAAAATTTGATTTATTTACAAACTTGTAAAAAAATATTGTATGAATCAAATTAGTCAGCGATCTCAAATTTCCTTAGTTTTCATTATTTATAAAATAAAATAGTCATGTGAGTCATGTAACCAAATAAAAAATTAGAACGGTTCTGTACATGCCCCCGTATGGTCCCTCAACTTCCCTTCGGGACACTTCTCGGGCGTATCAAAAGCATTTTTATTGTGTATCGTCACATTTGGCGGAAGCTTCTTCTCATTCCCAACATTTACTTGCGGTCTCGACGTCTTATTCTGCAAATTTTGACTTTGATCGTCCATAAAAACAACTTTTCCGTCCCCGGTGTTTTTCCCTTGGTTTGGTAAACTTTGATTGCGTTCTCCCTCATTTCTCCTATCAGAAAGAATTTGTTTCGTTACTTCTTCTTTAGGAAATTTGCTGATGGTAGTATTTTTATTGAAAAACACACAACAGGTGCCCGAAAGGCCATCCTGAGTCTCGAAGGGAATCACTTTGCAGTTAATGCGTTCACTAAGCACCTTATCAATGAGAAGGATTGTCGATACAAGTGATATTAGTGACACGGAAACTTTCATTTTGAGAACTTCACAACAGGAACATCAACTGGAAACTGGTTTCGTCATTGCAAGCTCAAGGTATTTAAACTGTGATTCGTTTGCAAACATTGAAGAGCGCTAATTTACTGGAAATTTATTTTCTTACAGAAACCAAACACAGAACAATGATAGAGGTGATGGTGTCGACGTAAAATCTGGGCATTAAACCCGAGATATGACAAAAAAATTATAAATTAATTCTGTTTAAAAGATAAAACATAAAAACCAGTATAATAAATATAGTAGCATTACAATCAAAGCACCCCTCACACACAGTCTTAAGAAGTAAATAAAAGTTAAATATTGGTTCCATTAATCCGAAAAAGATTATCTCAAGGAATCTTAGAAGTTGGGTACTGGAGTTAATAATTTATACAAAATTTAAAACAAAAAATTTTACTAAATAAATAAATAAATAAAATCTTTCAAAATTTATCATTTTTGAACAGTAGGTTATTTTCACTGGGGCATAAATGTTATTCAGATCATGAGTTATGCTCATGTTGAATGCACAATGCAATTCAAGTGTGCAACTTTTCTTTGAGTTATACGGTTTTTATTTTTTCGAGTGGAATATTTTAGTCTGAAGTGACTCACTTTAGCCAAATTTTGTTATTTCTATTCAAAACTGCGCATTCGGAACGGCTAATTTACATTACACTATTTACATAGTGGTTATAATTAACATTTCCGGTAAATAAATATTCAATATTAATGTAATGGATATAAATATAACAAATTAGCTATTAATCTCGATTGTGGTTTTACAACCGCACAATAGGTGTTGAGGAAGGTTATTTTTTTGATGAGTAACTTTTGATACTCGGGGATTCCTAAAAATAAGTTGAAAGCAAATAATTTATTTCAATTATTCAGTGAAAAATTTCTCATCAGAAACCTTGAATTACTCCATTACGTAACAATACCTGATTATTTCTATTGTTAAAATTGAAGTGACATTAGAATCTCCGGATTTTTCAAGTGCACTTTTATGAATAAATAAAGGCAACTTCGTTTATGAGCACATGTCATTTCGTAGAAATTACTTCAAAAATAGAAATCATATTTAACGTTTCTCTCTAGACAAACATACCATTATGTGGTAACACAGCTTTTCAATTTAATAAAAATAAAAGACAATGAACTTGAATTTGGCAACCACAACAAAAAAAATGTGATACAAAAGCACCTATAATAAGAATACTCGCTATTTGCATTTTCTGAGATTTTAAAATTTTGACGTCAATAATGCTTTTGGAAACTCCTGACTATTCATCCGTTAAGTAAAATCCGCAATTGTGAGTCTGTAACTGATTTCTTGACCAGTTCGGTAGTCATCACAAATAGTGAAAGGTAGAAAAATGTAACCCATTTGGGTCACTGCATCACCAGATGTGCATCTTCAATACTAAAATAGGTATTTTCCAGATAATCAATTTGAGAAGCAAAATTATGAATCTATTTGGAACGTGGTTTTCCCCTAGGTTAATTTTTTGTTGCTTTTACATCTCGACATAAGTAGGTATACGCGAGCAGGAAAATCTTTCGAACAAAATGAAAACTTTTCCATGATGAAATTTATGGTAATTAAATTAACCATATAAAACAAACAGAATTGTTATAAATCAATATTTATTTCCCAATGCACATAATTACAATTGCCATTTCAAATAAAACATCCATTTAATCAGTTCAATATACTTGCACTTGAGGAATAGTGTTGAGGTAAGAGCTTCTTACTCCAAGAGGTTGTCTCTCACGATAACCTGAAAGAAAAAAGTCAGTAAGACGACAAAAAACAAAGCTGAAAATCATATATACCTCTGTAGTAAGGAGAGTTGTAATAATAATCGTAGAAGCCACCATATGGAACAATTTCTTGTTCTTGTCCCAATTCAGCCAAACCTTCAATAGCTTGTTCCTCTTTCAACTGGTTAATAGTGTCAAGAGCATCGGAAACTCCACGATAAGTGTACGGAACTTGGGGGTAGTAGTACTGCCCTAAAACGGAGTTTTTGCCAAGATATCCTCTGCAATAAACTTAATTTAGTTATTTCAAATTTTAAGTTCTAAATAATTACTTAGAGTATGTTTTGTAAGGAATGTATCCGTAACCACCTTGGTTGTAGTAGTAGTCACCGTAGTTGCCCTGACTGCCATACAAGTATTTTTGCAAAAGAGGGTTGACATAGCGAGAGCTGCCATAGTACTGGCCTTTACCATAGTTGTAAGAGTTGCCATAGTATGATGGTCCGTATTGTTGGCCGCTGTAGTAGCTGCGCGGGTACCACCACGGGAGGTAGGATCCGTAACCATAATAGCCCCCGTATGATGGTCCATAGCCAGAACCATAACCATACCCAGATCCGTAACCATACCCAGACCCAGATCCGTAACCATATCCAGACCCATATCCGCGGTAGCCTTGTTGGTCGAGCCCTTCCAACAAATCGTACACCTGAGGACTGACTTCTCCTTTCTTCACAGCCTTGTTGATTCTGTTCAAAAGAACTTCATATTGGGCCTCGTTGACGACACCTTGGTACTCCCTCAAGATCTCCCCGAGGATGTCTCCTTGACTCTTGCTCTTGGATCCCCTCTTGCTCCTGTACTCCTCGTTGACACTGTCGTATGAAGAGTAAGGATACCCACCATAACCGTATTCGGAGTCGTAGAGGTTATTATTGTCGTTGATTTGGATGGTTTTGGTTGGGATGTTGGGGCCGGAGACGGAGATGTCGATGTTTCTTTGGCCGTTGGCTCCCACAGGTCTGGTAATGACTACGCGTTTACCTGTTGGTGAGGTGATCAAGATGCTGCCATCGTCGTTGACGGAGATGTTTCGGTTTCTGTACACTGTGGAAGCAGTGCACACCGCTACGAAAGCTGCCAGAAGAAGGAACTTCATCTTGACTGGTTGGCTGGTTGGGATGTGATGATGCTTAGAACGGTGGTGCTTTTATATGAGATTTAATCTTATTTGTGTTGTGTCAAAGGTGCTTTACCCCTGTTTGTGGTAATTAATTGATTACGATTTGTTGTAAAAATATGTTTTTCTTTTAACGCTTTGGAAGATTCTAGGAAGGTTCAAAGTGGTATCTCCTGCTGATATGAATAATAATAAAAAATGTCTATTGAATATATTTATTTTGGGAAGTAATCTAATTTAATTTTTTGTAAGAAAGCAAAAACTAACATTAATAAAGATAAAACCTAGAAAAAACCTTGATTAATTATCTGTACTAAACATGTAAAAAATATTTCTTTTCTTATATTACGAGTATACAAAAATCATGATGAAAAATAATTTTGGAAAGTGCACAAAAGGTTGCTTATTTCCAATAATAAATCGTGTTTTCTAATCTGTTCAATATTAGCAGATTTGTATACAGGGCGATTCAAAAGTGTTGAGTCAACTCTCGAATGGTGATAGAAGACTTTCAACTAAGCATAAAAATAAAAGCAGATTTTTTTCAAGCCTTATTTTGAGAAAAACCAGAACTGTCAATTTCCATATTATCAAGTTGGCATTTTATTTCTCTTGTTTCCGATGTTGTCGGAGTTAATTTATTGTTGAATTTGCTAGTTTGTTAAATGATTTGTACACCATAAGACACAAATTGCCAAATTAGTAATTTTTTTCAATAAGTGTCTGTTTAATGTTGCAAGAACTGCCGTATCCGTTAGTTTGTTAAAGTTAACAATACATGATCTGAATGGCCAAAAATTTAACCCAAAATCTAACTTTTGAAGAGCAATAAATCTAGTAAAAAAGGCTCAAACAAATTTTTGATATAAAAACTTTTAACTCAATTGAATGTATTTTACCACCACCTAAGAGATGACCTGATACTTTTAAATCACCCTGTAAATTTTTAATTTTAAAATAATTTACTTAATTATTTTTATCAGGTGAATAAAAATTATGGAACCAAACTTGCTTAAACTATTTATTTTTTTGGAAAAAGTAATTGATGAATGACAAAGTACTATAAAAATGTGATGTTTTATCAAAAATAAACATTTTCAAAATTTTCTTTTTAGTTCTACAAATTTTTTAATTTTTTCAAATGGCAACCCACTATAAAACCATTTTTCTCATGAAGGTTGTGATCTAACGATTATACCTATCTACTTTATGTTTCTTTTTTTTATTTTTTACATAAATTGCAATTTTGACAAAAAAATTGCATAACTCATAAACAAAACAAAATTTCGTTCTCAAAATACGATCACATTTTTTCATATTACTTTAATTTTTTTTCTTACTTTTTCTGCAAATACTAAATAGCCATTTTACATTTAAAAACTTTTCTCAATCATTAATCCAAATGTAAAATAAATTGTTTCATTATTTAGTTTTAATTACAAAAAATAAACATTAAGAAAACGGAACTGACTTGAATTTCATTTCACCTCGTACTCCATACATACAAGATTAATCAATTTTTATCAACGAAGTGTAAGTCAATAACCGCAAATAGTAGTATCATTAATTCATTATTAAGTCTAGAGATTATTCGTTAATAAAATTAACATTTTTATTTTTAAGCTGATGAAACTTTTAACACATTTTTCAATAGTGGACGGTCCGTTTAGGGTCACTTGTTTTTATATAAGATAATGCAAAATCATTGTCTTTGGTAATCATTGATAGTGTTCAAAGGTGAAGCCAAAAATGTTGTCTATTCATTATATACTACTTTAAAAAATTAAAGGAACAAAATATTTTCCTAAATTTTTTGGTGATTTTTGAAAGGCTGTAACTCATCGAAAAATGGTCGTATCTAGATTAAAAAAAAAACTATTTTGAAGCTTTAAGTTTCTATTTTTAAGATCTTTTGGTAAATATTTTTTGTGTTACGGTTATCACGCAATTCTAAGTAATAAATTTTTATGTTTTCGTTTTTGGTCCACGGACGTAGGGAATTTTTTTTTAGTTAAGTCAATGCATAGGCCCAATAGCATGTTTGTTTACGCTTTTTTGTAAAAATTTGTAAAAACATTTAAGAAACAATACTGCTTAATTTTTGAAAAAGAAATTCAAAAATATGTTTAAAATTTTTTTTAATTCGTAAAAAAATTCAAGAAACTATACCTACTGATTAATTTTTGAAAAAAAAATAAATAAAAAAAATTTTATTTTCGACTTTTTTTTCAAATTCAACTAATGAAAAATTGAAAAAGACAGCTGAATAAATTGTTTTTCTCATCTTGACGAAGATTAGACGATGTCCAGAAACAATATGTATAATTGTTCCTTTAATTCTTTTGCAAATCTTTGATCAATCGGTCCGAGAAAACAGTTTGATGGATCGATTTAAAAATTAGCAGGGCTGTGGATGATACTTTAAGCTGTAAAAACACCTAAAAACATTAGTCGCCCCATCAATATTAGTGAATAAGCGGTAGATTTACTAAAACAACGCAAAAACTTACTTTTTTCTATTTTCTTCAAATCAGTGTTAAAGGTAAAAAAAAATTTTTTCCAAAAAATCATAAGAGGATCTTCTAAGACATTTATTCCAGTTTTTGACACTACCCTTATATTCCTTGTGTGGTCATTGGTTGCTGAGATATCGATGATCAAAGACAAGAGAATCCTTCATTTAAAATCAGATATCTCAGCGACAAATTGACGTAAAGAAAATATGAAGAAAGCTTATTAAAGGTAAACAAACATGYTATCCGACCTATGCAAAAAAATTCTAGGCGTCCGTGGATCAAAAACAAAAACATAAAAATTTAGATTTTTTTTCTCGCGCTATTCTTTAGAATTGCGTGATAACCGTAGCACAGCAAAAATATTTGCTAAAAGATCTTAAAACTAGAAGCTTAAAGCTTTATGTTTTTTTTTAATCTAGATACGACCATTTTTCGATGAGTTACAGCCTTTCAAAAATCACTAAAAAATATAGGAAATTTTTTTGTTCCTTTAATTTTTTGGAGTAGTGTAGTTAAAAAAAAATCCAACACTATAATGTGACGTATTTAAGCTTATTTATCTCTTATATTGCCGTTAATATACGCTCTTCTCCCTTAATTCTTATTTTGAAAACGATTTCAGAACATTTTTTTCATAACGCAGAATTTCACTCTTTTCAGAAATGCAATACCTCGTGTATTGATGCCATATTAAAACTATGGTTTATAAGCAAATTTGCACTAAACAGAAACGAACGATGTTCAATGTTAATTTTTCAACGTTAATTTAGATTAGGTGAACAATTTGTAAACAAAAATTGTAAAGAACGTCATTATATTTCTTTTAGTTTAAATCGAATACACAAAATGCCTTTATATATTAAGTCTATTTGTTAAAAAAGCAATCTTTGCAAAAATAAGATGTCTTGTGTTAGTGTAGTAACTTAATTTTGTTTGGAGTGCACATAGGGATTCATAAATTGATGCAACCCATAAAAAGCACCCATTCTTGTTGAAATTACAATTGCAAACTCACTCACACCTACAAAATAAACCTTGTAGAACATAAAACCATTTTCAAATATGATTATACCTCCACTGGTCATCATTCCTCCTGACATTATGTCAAGATAAGTGCCAACAAAAGTTTCGGCCAGTTTTTGGTGACCAAACCAAGGATCTCCATTTGCATACGCATGCAGAGCAGATGCTAAATTTGCAAAGTTTCCAAGTACCGGTACATAACCTACAACGGCTAAACCCCAACTTGGACGACTGTATAAAAAAAACAATTCTTGTAATTACAAATTCTGTAAAAAAATGATAGATGATACAAACAATATTGTGTTAAATTTTTCCTTGTAACTAGAAATATCAATTTCGGGTAATGACTGATTTCTTATTAAGGAATAAGTTGAAGGTATATATCCAACGAAGGTTAAAGCCCAATATTTTGGCCCGTTGTTACTAGAATTAAGTATGTACTTAATAAAAGATTAATAAGTAATAAAAACTAAGATCTTACAAAAGTGCAACTGATTTTTCTTCGAGATTGGGGTTATTACCATCTTCGGTTATTTTACTATTACTGGGGTGCACCAACTCTCGAATTTTAGTTGCGTAATAGAAAAGCATTTTTATTAATATCGTGCCACTCGTAGCTATCTACAAAGTAATATACCTACTTAATGATAAAATGTTCAAAATAACTTAAGCAAGAATACCAATTAAATAAGCTGTCATTTTGGAGATTGCTATAAAATATATTTTTATAAAATGAAAATATTGTCTCTTAATCACATATTTCCAAAATGTAGTATTTATTTCATTCTGTAAGAATGTTGCAATTTTTTCAGCGATTATTTTGAAAGRATAAGAAATACCAAAAATAACATGATGTTTTTGAAGTTGGTATCACTTGCAATCTTAATACAGGTAGAGCCTGTGGGTAGAGCTCMTSAAAACGACCATTAGTGWCATTTGGCGAAGCCAACACAACCACTTCACCGAAAGAAGAGGATTTTAAAGTTACAGTTTTGTATTAATTTTTCTTCTGTATATAATTGCAATATAAAATATAAACATTTCGGATGCTATAAAAAGTCAAAACACTATCTAGTTTAATTATTATTGAACATTGGACGACAATATCGATATTTGAAAAGCAGATAGTATGAGTCTTACTTGAGGGGCGAAGCCCCCGACAATTTCGACATTTTTCGAATCAGATAGTATGAGTTCTACACGAGGGGCGAGCGGCTGTCCCAGCGACTACTTCTACAAAACTAGTTTGTAAGCGATTTAAAATGTGTGATGTGAAAATAAACTTTCATTTTAAATAAATTAAATCAATTTTAACAATTTCTTATAACTTCAGCAAATGGTTAGTAAGTTTTACAATTTATAAAAGAATAATTGCTTTGAAAATGTCATTTATTACTAAAGTAAACAAAATCCAAATATTTTTCATTACTATACAGAACAGATTATTTGTTCTGCTCAAATAAATAAGTGTGAACACACACCGGTGTTCTCAGCTGATTTCAGAACTTCCTTACGAATGAACTCATTCGCGACCAGTTCTCTGCATATTCCTTCCATCGAGGGCCTTTTACGATTTCCTGAGCTTCACTACACAATCGATAATAAAATAAGATTATAAATAGCAGTATTATTTTTTTCAACAATATCCGATCAAATTTTACTACAAACTAATTGTTRCATTGGGTCCCTTTTACAAAATTATGCCTAAAAATATTTAATAAAAGACCACTGAATAAAAATAATTTTATTAATGATTAATAATACGCAAAAAAATCACAAAATGACACTAACGAAAAGTAAAAAATATTTCATCATAATCAGTAAATAATGTATTGAAGCACAGCTTAAGTTCATTCATTGATCGCTTTTCGTCCCTTTTAATTTAAATTTAAATTTCTTTTCCTTTTTGTGTTTCTTTTTCTCTTTCTTATCTTTTTTGTTCTCTACACATTCCTCTTTCTTTAAAGTGTACAAATTTAATTGGTTAGTGATACTGTCATCCTCTTCGGCTTCCCTAACCCTATCCATCTCAAGGCATTCAATTATTTCATTTCGCCTTTCAACAACCTCCACTAATCGGTTTATCAGTTCTTCTTCTAGCGCTTTATCTGAATCGGTTTTATTTGCTTCAGGCTGTAACATCAGACACCTAATTTGATATTCTATATCCGCATGTTCCTCTTCCAACTTCTGTTGCCTTCGTCTACACAAAAAAAATCACACATCTCTTACAAAAAAAAGGGAAAAACTTACAAGTACATGAGTTCCGCTTGTCTCCTAAATAACTCGTTCTTTTCGTTGACTAATTCAAATAACTGCAAAATCATTTCTTCAATTTCTGGTGCCAAAGAATCATCTAAAAAAAATACGATGCAATAAAACAGGTTGGGAACAATGATAAACTCAATTACCAGGATTAATACCAGGTGCTTCACACTTCTCTCTGATAATCTGCTCCAAACGCACCCCTTGTTTTTCTAACCCTTGTTGCTGTATTTCAATTATTTCCAACTCTTGTCTAATTTCATTCATTGGGATCGATTTGATAGTCCGTCTTTTCGGGATGGGCCTTGAGGGAGCTTGCCCTTTTCGCCTCTTCCATTTGCCATAAGTACTCTTATTTGGAGCGCTTAAACTTGAAGAATTCTCACTGGAGCTGGGACCTATATTATAAACCAAAAATAAAACACGTCTAGTTCTAAATTTACAAAACTCACTCTGCAAAGTTATATTCTGACATTGTCTATTTCTATTTTGCTCATCTTTGGCACTTTTTTCCCTTTCAAAACCTTCCTCAAATGACTCTTGACGTGTTGAAGACCCTACTAAAGGTGTTGAAGTTGTCGGGGGCAATGGCGCCTTTTTTGATTTCTTTATCTTAGGTGTAGATCTAGGTGATTGCGTCTGAAGCAAAAAATCAAAATTTTTGATAATTTAACTATAGCCGACTCACCACACTATGGCAAGGACTTGACGTTAAGGAACTCTGTCCTGATTCACTTCCACCGACCATTGGTGGTTTAGGCGCTAGTTTTTTCTTTTTAGTTGTTAATCCCAATTGAGAACTCGATGACCCAGAAGCTGAACTACTTATCGACAATCCCGACTCGCGAGGACCACCATCTGAAGACCTAATAACACGATATTTAAGCATTGTGTATGTGCGCACCTCTTTAAAAAACAAATGACAGTTACCTACCGGTTGTGCATGTTAAACAGGACAATGACTCAACTTACTTGGAAAATCGAGGTTTTGGCACTGGTTTTGTTTCTTCGTTGTCCTCATCATCGCTCCAAAATGGATTTAGATTAACTTTCGGAGCTAAAACTAGTTTTCTTTGCGCAGGCTGAGGAATGTTTTTTTCTTCCGATTCTTTGTCTTCTTCGAATGGATTCACACTTCTTCGTTGTACGTAAATGGTCGACATATCATTATTAGTAAAGGAGGGCCTGATCTTTTTCCTAGTAGCTGGTTTAGGGCTAGGTGGCGGAAGATCGTCTTCTTCATCTTCAAACGGGTTTAGAGAAACATTTACATCTGTGGATTGTTCTTCATTGTCGTCAGCGTCACCAAAAGGATTTAAGTCGTTAGGATATTCGTCCTTGTTAGGTTTTTCAGAATTTGGATCAAGTATATTTTCACTCGAAACATTTTCATGAAATTTTATTGATTGGTCTATTGAAACTGTACGTGAATCGTCATTTTGGTCTTCAATTTTTGAGTGACTTTCTTCCGCACTGTCCGAAACGGTGATGATAGAGTCATCTGTTATCTTCGAGTCGCTAATAATTTCAGTGGTACTAGTCTTACTGGAGTTGGAAATGATGATGGCGGAATCATTTTCTGAAACTACATTAATTTCTACCGGGTCCTTATCTAAAGTACTGTCTTTAAAGCTATGCTTGGAATCTTCATCAATATCGACTTCGATATTTGCACTATTTGAAGTCCCTAAAGGCACTTGATTATTGACACTTTGAGTTTCGTTAGATGCATCAGAYTTGGATTCAAATAACCGCATTCGAGCTTTAACCAAAGAACTTGTGTCGCCCTCTGCAGATATCGTATCTTTGGTAACAATATCGTGAGATTCTTCCAGTGTTTTACTGGTATTGCTTAAACTAACACTATTGTCTGTATTTACATTTGTTTTAAGTCCCTTAGGAAAACCACTATCACCGAACGAATCTTCAAAGGTCACGTTTTCAGGAGGTTTAGTCTTGGGTAAATCGGGCGGTTCGTTTTCATTCCCCGAATCACTATTTAAATTATCAACCTGACTGTTAATGAAGGACGATCGCGCCTTACTATACTTCAAACTAGAACTACGTTCGGAAAATTCTAACGCTGTTTCAAATTTAGTACTATATTCATCCCCTTCTTCGTTTTTCTTCAATGAGGCTGATTTTTCTTCGTCACTTAACGATCGAGTCAAAACCGACGAATCCGGTGGACTGAAAACGGGCTTTTCTTCATCCGGACACGTCTCGCAACAAAACTCGTTGTTTTCAGTCTCGTAGTAATTGGCCAAGGTGAGTTGACTGTTGCAACGGGCACAACGAAAACATGTCCGGTGATAGAGTAGTTTTCCTACGTTCAAGCGTTCGGCGATAAAGACTGGAAGGCCGCATTTCGCGCAAGGCTCGCGACGGACTTTGCCTGCGCTTGGAAATGCCACCTAAAACAGATAAAAAACCGTTTCCTTTGATAAAAACCGGAAGTCGTATATGGAAAAATGACAATTTAAATTAATGATTTTTACCTTTAGCAAAATATTTCAGGCTTGTATTGGCCCATTATGTCCAAGCTTTCTTCCTATGAAAATAAACAGTGTGGGTTAAATAAGCACGAAGCTGATTTTTCGGTTCATTTTTTGTGCAATGCTTCCGTCCTGAAATTTTTTCGAACACTCGGTATGTACAGCTACTACATTAAGATTGCATCACATGGTCTAAACTACTCTTCTAGCTAAATAAATTAGTGTTGTTTGGTAAGTAATTAGTACATAGAGTTTACGTAATTAGCTGTTTTTATGCAGACTAAACTTATTGTTATTGAAAGTGTATGCAGAAAGGGGCGATCCTTTCCCATGATGTTTCATTAAACTTCAGAAACTCGTCATAATGACAATAAAGAAAGTGAAGAATAAKATTCAATGTGGAATAGTGAAATGTATAAAACTAGTTCGAAAACTCTTCAAGACTTATGTAAGAGGAAACCTTTACAAATCACTTCGGTGTAAGTGTATTTATTACAAATGGAAGTCAAGCTATATTTACAATAAAGTCATTTAGTAATCCGACTTTTTCCTGTGTAATTTCCTGTTACGACCGTTTACTATAAATCTACTGTTCAATTTCTAAATAGCTCCAGCTATCTAATGATAGTTTTATGATGCTGCTAACGGTTTTAAAGAGTTATTATAAGGTTGTCACCTTTTTATTTAAAAAAGTAACTACGGTTTACATTTTGCATGCTACAGTAAGTATACTCGTACATGCATGCTACTACATTATAGCTTGGGTATTAAATTGCAATGTTGTTGTTAATAGTGTAATTACTCGGTTTGAACGTTTCAAAATGAATTACAACGACAAATCATTCCAGAACCGTCATTTACGATGAGCTTTTGCTCAAGATAAGAACTGTATGCAACGGTAAAAGTGAAAAGAGTTTGTAAGAGGACGCGAATAAAGTTAATCGCATGCTTTTAGATTTTTTCAATATGGTGAAATACGAGAAGTGAAAAACATCAATTCACATTTTTTTCCATTTTTCACTATAAGCAATATTTTTTTCTAAACATTTACTAAATACTGCTAACTTTGAATGCAACAAATTATTAAAACAGTTTAATAATAAACGCAATAGACTTCCTCACGTTTTTAATTTGTAAATGTAAACCAAATAAATACATACGAGTACATAATCCAATGCTTGAAAACAGTTTTTTAACAAAGAGTTTCACTCCAGTCCTCAGGACGATAATATACTCGTAGTACGAAAATAAAAATACTAGTCTTTTCATAAAGCTCCTGTTCTGAATGGGATTTTCAAGAATAGACTAGGATTTTTCATTAAAAGCCGAATTTCACAATATGATCATACTTTGGAAAGCTAACACCACTAGAAATTAGACATTTCCACGGATTTTTAACACTTTCTGATATGCAAAATGACTAGTGTCTTGTAACTGATGATTTATGATAATTGTTTTCACTTTCAAAGATCTCATTGATAATCAACATGAAAACAATTAGTTTTTGTGAAAAGTTCGCATGTATAAATAGAACACATAATAATTATAATAACCCGATTTTTATGTGTAAAAATATGTAATACTATAATACTAATCAATTACGCAATCAAAATAATTTCCATTTTACAAAATGATCTGCATTTTTATATTTATAAATAAATTGATATGTAACAAAAAATAAGTTATTTTTAAATTGGTCATTAGCCTGTTGTTTTAATTTCACTGTCTCGAATAATAAAATCGCAGATGTTGTGCTCAAGTTTGTAAATATTAAAAGTTAGCAGATGTCAAACTGACCAAAATTGTATAATATTAAATTATTCTAACTGGTGCTTAAGTACAAACATATTTCGTCTACAGGAAATTAAAATGTAGAACCATTCACACTACGTTTCGCAGAAACTGAGATGTACAAACCTAGCGAACCATTCTGCATACAATCTGTGCATCCTGACATGCTCGTTGCATATAAAAGACAAATGTATAAACAGTGTTACATCACTATAAGTGACAAAATYAATTACTTTCATTTTGTACACCTGATTTTTCTGACCAAATTTAAATACCTTAACCGAAACCCACACTGTTTATTACAACGATAAAAAAGATGTGAAAGTAGAGACAAGAGGTAAAAAAGCATGGTGAGAATGAAACAATCGACTAAAGAAAAGCAAATTTCATGACTTTAGTAAATTTTCCACAACAGGTGCAAAATTAGTCATGCAAAAGAATAAATAAAATATAAACGTTTTTCAAGCAATGTCAATGTCGCGTGTTCACCTTGTGAAAACAACACGTAACGTGTGTGTTGTCACAATCATCGGTGTGAGCTAAAGTCATTAGCACAAAGCAGTGAAAAATAAAAGAAACCAGGAAGCAACTAGAAGTGCGAAAAACCACCACCATAATTATAAACTATAACTACACACTACAAAATCGCCATGCAAAACTCAAATTAGCTTAATTATAAAATTATTTATCATTTCCCTAACTACAGTGATCATGGAATCAACACTAAATGAACTCAAGTAAGCACAAATAAAACAGAACACATTGCACAAAAAATAAAGACATGATGATAAGTGATTGATACCTTTGTGGGAGGACTCGTGGAAGCTGGAGACACTAGGCCATGGTCGGGAGATGTTGCCGGTCTTTTTGAAGCTAGTCTTGCTGGTGATTTGCCTAGAAAAAATATTACTCTCAACTACATAAAACGAGAATAGTTTCAACTGGCAACCGATTTTTTGTTTTATCGGTCATTTTATTTGGCCAGACAAKCATCAAATTTATGTTCGAATGACACTGATTCGAGAGAATCTGCACTTTGAAAAATTGAATTTGCTAAATAGGATCATGTCGTAGGAAAGAGGAGATTACAAGTTACAACTTCTAGAGTTAAATTTAATTACAAGTTGGGTAAAACTGTGGTCACTGCAAGAAAATTTATTTATTTTTCTCTTCTCGCACGATCACAATGGGCAATGACGCTTGAAACTTTTTCACATCATTTATACAGTTGGAATTATTTTTAAGATTGATGATTAAAACCGTTAAATGTGACGTATAGTAATTTTGAAACACAACTTTATTTAACATTGTAAGAAATTTTCAACAGTCGAATAAACGATCTTAACGACTGTTACTACAAAATAAAAATTTTCTAAGGCGGAAATATAAACAAGTCGTAATTATTTCATTTTCAAAATTGTCAAACAATTGTTTCTGCAATTTGTATTTTTACTACATTCGTCTGCGTTGATTGATTTTATCAAATGTGTATCAAATGGAGAAAGTTGAACTGAGAAATCTGATTGAGAAGATCCGATAAGTAGGTGAGTACACAGGACCAGGTCATAAATCGATTGACCCACCTGGAAACACTTTCCCTCTCTTATAATACATACGACGAATTGAGAAAGCGGAAGTTATCTGTCAACTAAACTGATCCGATGGCGTTTCTATATCGTTTTAGAACTTTTGCAGCTTTCGTTTCCTCTAAGACACACCCGTGATAATAATTATTACTTTGCGAGTTAATGACCGTCATTTTTCGTCGGCTTTTTTCCTATCAAAATAATTTTGAATGGCGACAGCGCTTTTCTCTTATCTCGAGCGGATGCAGACCCCAACGCCTTGTGAGATAATGACCGGCTGGTACTGGTAAATATACTTTTAGCACACCTCCTACTATGTATATTAATTGGTTATTAACGAATTTTCAACAAATTAAGTAAACTGAAAGAAAATTGTTAATTAAAAGATATAACAGCGCGTGAATGAACATTAATCGATTTGCTATAACAAAACGGAAATTTCTTGATCACAGAACGGTTAAGGTGATTAAAAATCTTGATCGTAAAATATTAAAAATAAGTCAATAATGAACTCAGAGGCGTAGCCAAATTAAATAAAATTGATAAAGCAAAGTTTTAAAAATTCTTGAAATATATGATTTTTTAACAAAAATTGAAAATAAATCACAAAATAAGTACATACGTACGAGAAAGAATTTTCGTTACAAAATTAGAATGTTCTAAGAAAGTTTAGAAAAGATTATAAAAAATGCTACTAAGAGATTTCTTTGTTATTTTTGTACGAATGTAAAAATGTTGTTTCTTAATCGAATGCTAATAAAATTGTTGAAAAAAAGTTTTTTTTTATTATACGGGATGATATGAAAGTATGTGCGAATAAATAYTTTCAGAGGTAATAGAAAATTTCAAAAAAAATCAACATAACTCAAAGTGCCTTATTATAGTTTTTGAGATACAGAAATTTTTGTTCGTCAAAAAAAAATGGGACGCAGACTTTAACTTCACCAATTCAAATTGTGAACAAGTATAATCTTTAAGGTTAGTTCTTTAAAATTTATTACTCACATTCTTTACAAAAAAACTAAGCTAAAATGAGTAAACACAAACATATAAAAAATCATAAAACGTTAAAAATTTTGCATCCATCTTTTTGTTGAAGATAACACCGAATTTCATTACTTCAAATGTTACAGACAACATTCAACGTAAATTTTGAGATAAAGTACTCAAAAGGTTCAAACTTCGTTTATATTGCGGTTTTTTGACAATTTTTCCGTCGTCATAGTGGAGGTTGTACCCTCTATGTCTCAAAAACTATAAACATTCGGATAAAACAAGTTTAGTTATTTTGATTTCTTTCAAGCTTTTCTATCACCTGTTAAAATATTTGCACATACTTTAGAATTAGACACTTTTTGTTAATTTCATTATTTAAGGTTATAGTATTTAGCGAAATTTGGTTGTTTTGAAATGTTTTATATCGCATCTAGTCATTTCGACTTTAAATCTTCTTTAAAACCTTAAAACTACGTCGACAAAAGACATAGAACTGCTTTTTGACTATGAGTAACAGTTTTGAACAATAAAAATCAGTGCGAATTACAGCGAATTCTTGTTTCATTGTTACGCCACTGTACCACAGTGTTTCAATTTGTAGGAGTTGCCCTGCCACAACATAAAATATCGAATTTGAGTCATGACTCACGTTCAAATTGTACCATTTCCACTCTATACATTTTTTCGGTTGTGTGTTATAATTGCCGCTTGTCAGGCAAGAATCGACTCTCGAGAAAACGAACATGTTTCTACAGTTTTGGCTTAAACTTTCAGAAAAAAATCAAACACAAAATGAAGATTAATTGCAGAAATCTCGCCTGAATTAAAAAATGATTTAAGTCGCGTGTTCTAAATTTACATGAAAGTAAACACTGAAACAACTGTTAATTAATTTTAGAAATTTGCAACAAACATAAAAACTGATCATTAATACAACCCGGGAACTTAAATCGAAAGTTGTCCTTCCTATTACACGGATATAAATTTGATCAAATACGCAAAATTAAATTACCCTTTGACCTCTGCTATTTCGCAAGAAATTTCGTAACACGTATTGTTCTATGGTACATAAAAACGATTTATTGGCATAAAACAAAGATTTATGTTATGTCTATTGACATACTTTCGAAGATGGTCACGTAATGATGCGGTTGAGTTGATGAAGTGTGCTTGTCTCGGCGACTTGCGAAACTTACCTTGTCCAACAACGAACGTCTGATAGAACTGTGAGAGGTAAGTSAGGATGGAAAGACGATCCGGAACGGAACATTCAACCATATCTTCAGGCTCTAGCAATGCAGGGATGCCTAAATGGTGTTCAGCAATWCGAAAAGCCAATTCGTTGTTGTGGTAAATATCGTCTTTGTTCAGTTTGGAAAATTCGCTGCAAACGAAATAAAGTTGATGATGGCATTACACGCATTCGTTACGTAAATCCCCCATTAAAGTAATAAATCTTTCACACAAAAGTCGTCGAATCTGTTTTGATAAATAATTAATGAAGAAAGAAACGACAGCGAGAAAGTTCCGARACATTTAGATTGACTGGAAATAAATTCTTASGAGTAACAAAACCTGTCACGTTAGCAGGGATTCCATATTACCATAAGTTGAAAATATAAAAGATGTACTTTCCAATTTTGGTAAAAATAACCATTTGAACCAGACGTGGACATCTTTTATTTCCGACTTTCTTCCAAMGATYAAGGTTTAAATTTTAACGCAAGGGTCAACCGGAAAAAATTCTGTATTTGCAATTACCCCTCTCAAAAAGCTTCTCTGCATATTTCGTACAATGTTAGCGAGATTACTCACGACTTCTAAACCTGCACCTTAATGCAACTTTCCTGGCTGTGTTAACACCGAGAACAATGCAAAACGGCAACACCTTATCTTCAAATTACAAAATTTCATCGAGAAACTTAAATTCTCGACCTCCAAGATATTTCTCAAAAACCTATCAAGTCAGATTCTCCGAAAAATTCACTTAAAAATTTTATGACTCATGAAACTCCCATCAATTAATTGAAAATTAACTCGGAATAGCTCCGGGTTGTAATTTATTAGTTTGTTAAGGGAATTAAATATTCAACCTCGTGTTCAATGGATTCAATGAAACGTGATAGCGGATTTAATAATTGTTTATTGCAAAACGTTATTTGTGGACGTGTCAAAGGCTTTCAACCGATTAAGGAGTTAATTATCGTTAAATTTTTCGCAAGGATTAAAAAATTAAGGTCAGGAAAAATAGAACTAAAGACGAAGAAATCAGACGGATTCTGTCCATTTAAGGCAAAGACCTGCTGGCTACACAATAACACTTTTTCGCTTGAGGTCAGTGCCTTGAAACTCCTCGTAAGGCAAAGTAACTAATTTCGGTCCGGCTTCAAACAATCAAACCAAAACAACTATTTCATACTTCATTCGGAAACAATTAGAAAGAAAGGTGAATGGGGAGCGAATCACGAGATTTAGAAATCATTTAATTGCGCGATAGTCCACTTTCTTACATTAAATCCGGCCTGAAGTGATGGATTATGGCACAAAAGGCGAGTCCGTCCCGCCACGACGTGGTCATGTTGGTGACATTGACTCCAGGATAGCCTTCGGTCATACGACGGCACCACAACTCCAGTCCTTTCGTTCCCCTACGTTCTCCCATTTTGGCGTCCTTCAGTCTGTAAAAGCAAAAATCGCAAGTCAGAACATCTCGTCACGATCCTTCTCATACGTGAGACACTGATGGGTTGGGGATTTTGTACGACCTAGTGACATTTTAAGTAATTACACTAAGATGTAAATGATAATCAAATAATGCGCATTAGAATGCGGCCTTACTTACTCATGTTTAATGCCTGTAATGCGAATTATGCTTTTGTATATGTGAGCAAATCGAATAAAATTGCCATGATTTATGGCGCTAACCTTGCCTGATCTCTGCACGAGGTCACATTTTGCATAATGTTACCGATTATTGCCAAAATCGAGAGACTGAAAAGATACCGCAAAATTGAGATTCATTTAGATACATATTTTAACTATTCGTGAACCAACGAATCGGAAACGCCATCATAATGTTGATATAAACCAATGTAAAACGATACTGGATACTGTTGAATAATAGTCGTTGGTTTAATAAATATTCATGGTTGGTAGGAGTCAACACGATTCGGCATACTCATCACTAAATTATTAGTCCACCTATTAGTTTTTACACTAGGAAAACATTTTTTCTCGTTTACTCCATTTTAAATAGAAAAAAACAATACTATACCATAAGTGTTATTTTTTATAAAATGGGGAAGTGATTTAGTTACCTTCAACCCTTTTAAGTTATTTTTTATATTCGCTAGTTATTATTAAGATAAATAAATAAATAAAAGATTGATGCATTGTTTACTGTTTTATATTTATACAGGGTGTCAATTTTAAAACTTGCAATCGCCAATATCTCTAGAACTAAAAAAGTTATTGAGAATCACTCAAAACCGTTTCGGTAGTTTTTAGAGGGAATCAAATTGGCATGGTAAGTGACGCTCCTCCACCCACCCTTCAAGCCACAGCCACCTTAAGTTGAAAATTTTAAATGGCACGACCCTACTTGCGATATATCGTTGGAAAGCCCATAACAAGCGCTGTTCAAAAATGTCATACAACAGCCGATTTGGTAAAGTTATTTTTCCAATTATTCAAAAACGAAGACGTTAAATTTTAATTTTTTTTACTATATTCAAGGGTGGGTGGAGATGTGTCACTTATCATGTCATTTTAATTCCCCCTAGAAACCACCAAAACGGTTTTGAGTTATTATTAGTAACTTTTTCAGTTGAGAGAAATTGCCGATGGCAAGTTTTAAAATTGACACAGTGTATAAGTTTTAGAACATAAATGTATTCATACATACAAAATGTTAATATATAATGTTTATTGTTTGTGTACTAGCAGCTTGTATTTGTGATTTTTATACGAATATAAATTGAATTAGGGTATACGACTGGCCGATAAATGTCGACAAAACTGATCTACACTTAGCTGGTTATAATAACATAAGATTCCTATTATATAGAGGTAGCTAGATAGTCAAAAGAAAATCTACTGAGGGACTTCCCTTTACCTTCACAATAAACGAAACTTCACCAAAATGCTTAAAAGAGTTTATGATTTTTATGAAACCCACTAACGATAAAGAACTCAACGAAAAAAAAAATGTGCATAATTAGTTTTCACTAAGATAATTTACATAAATTCTTTGATTAAATCCAAACAATGATAAGGGTCGAGAAGAATGATAGACCATGCGGGTTTTAGATTGAGAGTAGAAATGATAAAAAGATAAAAATGTAACTAAGAAAAGTTATGTTAAAAAAGTAATAAAGACTTTTTGGATTATCTGATGAGATATCTAATATTAGCTTCTGTCAACACAAGAAAAAGAAGCAAAAGGCCCACAGACCTATTCAGTCAAACACAGAGACCGAGATTTATCAATTGAAATTGAACCTCGACGATGGTAAAATTAAGATATTACATTAATAATAATATCAACTAATGATAGAAGCATAGAGGGTGTGTAAAGCAGGTAAAAGCAAAAATCACCGTAAATCCAACTTATCATAAGATCTTCTAAGTACAAACCTAACATAATTCTAACTCGCTTTAAACTTGCAGTTCTTTGTGGTACCACATTTGGGCAACTCTTCAGTCTCAGAAGTCATTTTAACGGACGATTTGCTGTTAAAATACTCAACTATCGTCGCGCTATCCAAGATTTAATACACATATTTCCAAGACTTACTTGACATGGCCATCTCACTGGGCTTTGTTTACCCTATTTTTTGAATATCGTATTAATTTTTTTTTTGAAATGTGAAAGTAATATTACATATTATGTAATTTACACAGCGGCCGAAAAACTATAATAATAAAAACTATAATTCGGATTTATTTATATTAAAAATTGAGCACTCCCTTATAATATTACTAATTTATTGGTTAAAAATCATAATAACAAAACTATTAATTTTTTTGATGGTCGAATTGACAAACTCCGTAAAAATTCTTTCCTAGTCTGCAGTTTTATAAAAGAAAAGATAAAACGCTGACTAACACGAAATGAATGTACTATGTAGGTAAACAACCATTTTGTTATAAGCATTGCTTCATTGTTTATTTTAATCTTTCATAATAAATATTTTTTAAAAATGCTAGTCTTTTATTCACATTTAAATGGCTCTTTAAAATTCAAATTTTAGTGATTAAATCGTTTTTTTCAGTAATTAGAAAGTTATCAGGAAAGAGTCAGGTTTTTTAGAAGATGCGTCTGCTTTTCTTACATTATCCACATTTCTCATGTAACTTCGTCACTCAGCACTCAGACATCGTTWTTCGTAAGAATTTACGATCTACTAGAATTAAATGTAATGGCGAATGTTCTATATTTTTGACAAAGTATGTACTAAAATTTTTAAATAAGAAATTAGAAGAAATGTTAGGTAATAAAATAAATCAACTACTTCCTTCAGAAACTCGGGAATACAGGAAGCAAAGCATGAATAAAACAATTCCATTCCTTTCTTCGTTTGTCTTTTCGTTGACCTGGTGTGTCAATGAGAAGAACATCATCTGAAACGGTCGTTAAAGTAAAGTATTGTATGCAAAAAAGCATCTTTCCCTGAAAATCCTACTTCCAGTAAAACATTTTTTAAAAGCCAAACGATTCAACATGTACAGTTCTATAGTACAAATTATTCTACAACTCTACAGCACTCATTAATCAAGCAAAATCGATACGAAAGCGCTCCTGATTCGTGTTTTTTTGCCTCCTTCATCTAAACTTTAGTCTTAAAGTGATGTAAAAGAAAAAACCCTGCTGTGATAAGTATCCAGTGATTGTTTAGTTCGCTGGTAATGAATTTCTTGGTATATACAATTTCTCAATTAAGAATAAATTAATCAGTTAAAAAACCTATTATTTAACTTAACTAGCGGGAAGTAAAATCGTGAACAAAGAATTAGGCATAGTGTAAGGAAATTAAATCAGTTTCTAATACAATACATTTTCCGTGCAATATTACATAAGATATAATAACATAACGGTTTAAGTTTGGAAGAACAATCAACGCTCCCGTATAAAAGCATCTCTTTAGATATTTTACAAACATGTCGCTTGTAATGTGAGATTTTAACCGTTGTATATAACTATGTGATACATTTCATATTGTGTAACTTTTACGTAATATCAGTATGCGAAACATGTTCCATACATTGCGTGTGGATAAACTCCTAATCAAATACGCATATAACACAAAAAGGAATGTTGTAACCGATTGTTAATAACCAATAGAACACGTGGCAGTTAAAAAAAACTTGTAAACATAATAAAAAAGAAACAGGTGCGCCTCTATTTATCCGTATCCTGGCTTGCATCATCGACAATTGGATGTTAAATGCTTTTATTTATAAGAGACTACCACAAAGTCCTCAATTAACTGTCTTCAAGGTCCAGCAATCCGTTCACTCTTTGAGATAAAAACGGTTCTAATTTTGGTACTGGATAAATGAAGAATCACCGTTATTGAATGCACCSTGACTAGCTCACGCTTGGTCCCAGTAAGTCTAGTATAAAAGTCAACAGCTGATGATGGTGTTTGTATCTAGGCCTTATTTTACAACACCATTCGTATATACTCGTAAATTTGTTAGAAACTTGTCAAAGTATTTACCGTAAATGGTAAAAAAATATAAATGTCACAAGAAAGTCGTCTATTAAACTTTCATATACTCGTAATTATAACTAAAAATGGTCGAATCTGACACATGCGTTATTTTTCCATTGCTGATGACTTTCACGGTTACACCTTGGAAAAATTAAATGACAACTTGCGGTCAATTAAATTAGCACCTTTTAATAGAACACAAAGATTTATTGAATGTTAATACTTGTTTTGTTGCCGGATAACAGTTATTTTCACACACAAACGTGCGGCGGTATTTTTTTCAAATACAAGAAAATGTACAGTTAACAAAATTAGATCCCGGTTCGGCAACTACAAGCAATTGGCAATAATCATTATTTGACACGCTTATAATAGATAGTCAAGCCATAAACAATCGAAATAAAGTTGTTTCCACCATTCATTTGCATAAATTAAAGAGAATTACATCCGACACAATCTAAAACACTTGCAGTTTCTCGGCGAAATCACTTAAAAAAAACACTAATTAGGGAGGAAAACGCACGATTTCTTCTACGCGGAAAACTGAGCATTTCAGACACGTAGGTGTATAGTGAATTAAATAATTGTAGGTAATCTACTTTATTTACTCCAAGTTAGAGATAATGACAAATAAATAAGACATAATAATATGAAAATTTGCTTCCATAGATAGTAAAGGTGAAAGAGGTATTTACGCCTCGCAATTTATAAGTGAAAAATCATTTCTTTTCATTTTATTTCTTGTGTCCAAGAAAGTACAATTCAGTCTTTATGTTCGTAATTAAGTGTTTAACAAAATGTCAATGTTAAGAAAGAAGCTTCATAAACGGAGAAAATTTCGACTTTCACCTTTGTGCTCTAGTTGTTATTAAAAATAATAACAGATTTACAAAAGTTGGAACCTTTTTTGGTACTATTCTAATGTTACGATCGAAAGTTGTTATGTTTTATAATGACCATCAACTTTCATTCGACTGAATTCAGTCGAGATGAATTAAGAAAACAGATGTGAAYATAACGCATCATTGCAGAAACAGCAAAACAAAACACACCCGATCAAAAGAGAAAATGCATCAACATCATCGTGACTATCTCGGCCAACAATTATTATTAATAGTCAAAGGTGTGTCTCATAATTCGAAATATAKGCAACAAAGATAACAATTTATTCTCAWCGTACGATTAATCATCCATGAATTGCATGAAGTAAGCAGAAATTGGGAAAAAATCGGGAACTGTACTTTCGGATTTACTGCGGGTAAATTAAAAGTGGAAAATTGCATGTGAAGCGATTCCTTCCGTCTTCAGACAAGGAAAAATATGTTTTTGAAATTATCAACGAGACTGCCAAGACAAGAAGTACTTATTTATAGAACAAGAAATTGCTATACGCAAACAGGTATGGTTACGGCAATAGCAAACTAAAGGCTTGGATTTATAATGTGTCATTCTGTCAAGGACGATTGTTTCGACCATAAATGGTAAACAGTGACTAGTTAACGTTAAATAATCCGTCAATTATGGAAATGAAAAGAAAACTACACAACAATACCGAACAAATCATTTTTACAGTAATTATGACAGTCGGAAAGTAAAACTGAAAAGCCAAGTGGAACAAAATAAAGAAAATGTTACGGTTGGGTTTACGTAACTTAAGTCTTCCAAATTTCCACAATGTTTTGAAGAAATGATATCAATTTATAATACATTTCAAGAAATATGACACAATGCAATTATAGCAACCGAAAAATCTATTTTTAATGACTTGAATTGCAATTTTTGGACAAGAACCAAATATTTCATACCACAAAAGCCTTCAGATACAATGAATCTCGAGGCGATTCGAGAATGGTACATGCCGTGGTATTAAATTTATGGGTTGTGATTTCAATTCAATTCAAGTGTTAAAACATAACACTGTTATTGGCTTAATAACCTTTGTGAAAGTAAAAATGTTATTTGGCAACTTCACGTATTCAGTTCTTTGTCTAGAAGTACTGACAGGAATATTATGTACCTTCCGATAGATCCATTAATTTCTCCATGGTTTATTATCGTTGAGATATGCGATAAAGACAAAAAGACAAAAGCGACCTTGGAAACGCAAATACCAAAATTCACATGAAAAATTAAACATTTAACTGCATTCAGCACGCAAATAAATTATGTTGAGGCTTTGTCCTTTTATCTAATTTTTTGTGAGAATTTTTCGTCTTTTGTCTGAAGACCCTCAAGGAAGATAACAGCGGAAGAGCGTTCTCCTTTATTTACCACATGAGTCACCTCTTCCGACGTGAAGAAGATCAAGTTCACGTGAAAATTATAGCTACTCATGTGATTCACCCAAATTATAAGCCGAAAAAGTGTTTATTACTTCACATAATCACACAACTCACACTATTAACTTAATTACAAACATAAGTAATAATAGTCTCTATGACAATTTTTTTTCAATATTTTAACTAACAGATGTTAAATTAATTTATCATTTGAAAAGTAACTGTCATTACACGGAATAATCAAATCGATTATAATGCCGTAACCACTCACTATGTCATTAAAATGACATTAGTTTTCTTCAACTTTATTAATGGAAGGAGATCCATTGGGAGTTGTTTCTTTTGGAGACGGCAGAGAGGTGTAATTTGTGTTAAAATCCGAAGTTACTACTTTAGACTTACATGAATTTAGCTTGATTTTGTAACTTTTAATAAATAATACATGGATAAGTAAATGTTGATCCTAATTACAGTGTAAACATTGTATACAATGAAAAAAGTCACGTACACTTATTTTATGCGGATGACCACAAGCACGATTTTTTGGTAACACTTTGTGGTTCTACTGTTTGACCCACAGACCTTACACAAAAACATATTTGATGACCCCAGGCGGATCCACAGATTCAACCAATTAAAAAATCTGACAGTTCCAAGAAAACACAACGCTGATGTTATGATATTCAATTAAATTATCGTATAAAAAATCTACCCACTACAACAAAATTTTAAAGAAACTGAGGCATATGGATCTAGCGCAGCAATTATAGATAATCACGGAACAGGTTTATCGATTAATTATTTTCACTTATTGTTTTGAAAATAAAATTTTTAACGACCCTGATTCATGACACAAATACATAGTTAATTTTGTAGTCTGTTTTGTTTTCACAAATTTGCATATATAAACAAACCAACGCATGATATTGATCGGAAGTATTACAAATAAAACATAGAAAAATAAAAAAATAAGAAATAGAACAAAGAAATAATATTAAATATGACAAGAGTCCCAAATGCTCACAAGAGTATAGACTGTGGAAGCCGTCTGCCGTCACTACTAATATTATTAGGCAAATTCTTGATTCAATTTAAAATTGWGATAACTTACTATCAATAAAAATAATCCTTGAAGTCGAGTCAATACTATCAGCTAGCAAAAATAAAGTTCTAGCGATGAAAACCACGTGTTTCAATATCGGTTTCCAGCACCGACTCGCACTCTACCACGGTGAACAGAAAACTGAGTGACTTGAGTCATAAAACTGGCACATATAGTGGCTCTGCTATAAGCAGGTAGTTGGTATAAAAGCGATCCGACAAACAGGACTGAAACTTGTATTTAATGCAGGCGAGCTAAACAGCTGCATTCATAGCTGGAACAACAAAAAACTTCTACTCTTTTCGTATTTGTCATGGAGGACACGTTGAGACCTGCCCGAAGGATGCCTCCGAAGAAGCTGCATGCTGCATGTTCAGAGAGCATAATTTTTATTTCTCTTTCGCTGCACCTTGAGTACTGCGAGTGCAAAAATTATGCATTTTGTCAAGAGGAAATGWTAATGTAAATTATTACAGACAAGTCATCTTGTAGATAACACCCTTTAACACGAAATAAAAAGGCTTGCAGTAATTAAGCAATTTAATAAATTTGTTGGTGAATGCGAGCCAGCCCTCCAACAAGGTTTACCTACCGCATTGTTCTTTAATTATTTCAATCTCAACGGTCGTCCTCTTTAATAAATCCCGATTAAAACCATGGAAAATAACAGTACTTGTTAAGGATATAATTTAAAATGATCGATTTCATCACGTTTTGGAAAAGTATACCAGCCTCGTACATAAAACATGGTGAAAAGGTGAAATTATTAAAACCTTACATGGCAATACACATATCGTGTCCGTTTTATTACTATTGTAATAATTATTTGACCCCAGTGGAAAGTGTGAATTCGTTCAGTCATAAATACTCTAAAAAATTATTTTCACTATCCATTGTAAATAAAACTTATAACCGTTTGAATAATTTAGAAAGGGTCAAAATGAGCATTCGTAAAGAAGTGTGTAAAACAATACAGACAGGTGTATATTAAATTATTAGCTAATTCTGTGAAAAGTAAAAAATTGACTTGCTCAATAATTTTACGAACACGTTTAAGTTAAGCCATTGTTAAATAATGATCATTAAACTAACCTAGAGTTACTTAATACTGAATATAAATCAAATGTTTTAGTTAATTATTGCAAAAGTGATAAATTCTTTGGCGTACAGTAAATACATTAAATATGTAATAATATAAAATAAATAATCAGATTTCAAACAAATTGTGATAATAATTAGCGAGTAAAATATAACAAAAATTATTTTTAATCAATATGACGTTGTTTATGTTTATTATTAATGATAAAACAAAATTATCAAACTGGCTTTTGAATTAGTATCTATCATTTCAAGTGAATTTTATTACTCACGCTCATGATCCATATTTAATTACTGATATTTATAGCAATCTTGAATACTCCAGAAATACCAGTTTCTAGTGTCATTATCAATGTTTTAATTTAAATACTAAATATTAAATATTAGACACGAATACAGAATTATATAAAACAGCAACCTTTTACAGGTAGCACACCTGTGAATTCATAAATAGCTAGTGGTAAAATGTTTCCGAAAAGAAATTTCACAATGCTTGTCACAGTCTGTTACAAATTAATTTGGAGATATTTCATGGCCAAATGACAAGTTATTATATCATAATTTACTAAATTGGAGTGGCTACCGATTTTGATTAGATCGTAATCAAACTGCATTTGACACCCAGCTGTTCAGTCATGATTCTGATTAGTTATTTAATTGGGAAGAAAATCGAAAAAGCTGTATTTCTTCTTCTTGATAGACTTAAAATTCTAGTTGTGTTCTTGTGTASAGCTTCATCTCTTACCTTCACTAATCTCTCTTTAATAGTCTTTTAGATATCCAACAAAACGAATAATATATCGCAATTGCTTTAATTAAAATAACTACTGGAGAACTCCTYATTCTGGTTATTGTTAGGTTAGTCTTTTTGATTTGTTGAGGATCTTTTATTAACGCGGAAGTGATACCAACGTCGTTAATCATGCATAAACAACTATTTAAAACTTTATTATAGATAGTCCGTGGAAATTGCATTGATAGATTATATCTAAATGCTATTATTGTAGCATCAAATCTTGGAAAGTTTATTATGTACACGACAGTATCATTCAAGGTTACGAGATGTCTTTTCTTTTTACACGAACAAAAAAAATCGACGACTTACCCCAATTTAGACAGTTTTCGCTTTCTGTAATGTCCACTCCGGGATAATCTTCACATGCAACACAAAGAACCAAGAACACACAGGGTTCAAGTCAGAGGTTAAACCTTCGGGTGATTTAATGCAATTCCGTATTTGGTTTATGTGTATATACCAGAAAGGTGATAAATGAAACGGTTGTATCAAGTTTTTAGTCCAATACCATTATCATCACTTTAACTAACTAATGAAGTGGGTTCTGAATAATGCATCCCAGTGATGAGTTATTTTTCTATAAGAACTTTGAAAGTTGTCACCCTTGGCGCAATATGAGCACCATGTGGCCTGTAAGTATTAAATTCTCTCTGAAACGTATCAGTTTCATCCCTATAAAATTGTTGTGGTCGGAGTTGTCGAGTCAAAACAGAACCTTACCTTTGATCGTCGTTTTTTACTCACCTGTATTAGTGATTGCAAAACACGTATATCCGGTACAACACCAACAGTTATCTACTATTACSGAMTTGAAAAAATCAACACAATTTTCTACTCGACTTGATCTAACGAGACGTTTTTCACCCATTYAAATCACGTACTGCAATTTGCAACAGATTCAGCAACAATGGAAACCTACTTAAGACTTTGATGTCACACGCAGACTTTAAAATTAACAGAGAGGTCAAGACAATTGCACCTACGATTGAGTTTTTAATTAATACTAAGTCGAGAGGACATTTACCCTATTAGTTAATGATGCAAGACGAGTATTACTCGTAGGAGTCTGTCCAGTTGAGGTTTTTTAACCTCAACTAATCACACTCAAACCGTGCTAAAATTATTTCTTTCGTGATARAATCTCCTTTAATAAATAACTAAACATTTCGCTTAATTGATATTAGCGAATGYAGTGACTAATCTCGCATCTCTTTTGCATCTGTAACCAGGAAATGGGAATACCAGTTTCGGTTCAAAGCTCACGGTAAATCGATTAAAGGTCTTCCGGAGGACCACTACCACATCTTGTGCGGTCTTCTTCTAAGTGAGAACCATCACAATGGGGCGAGGGAGAGAGCCTCGGGCTAAAGCACTCTTCAATTTTTCTCGTTACCGATGTCGGCGGCGCCAGACAGGCCTTTATATACAAAAATAAAGACGAGCCGGCCTCCGACAGTCAAATAACAGGAGAACTTGTTTAGGTGTGACACCCGCACACAACATTCGWTTCTTGAGAACGGAATCGTTCGCTCGTTTTACACGCAATGCGCGAATGCTAAACGGATGTGCGTGCAAAATACGAATTGTATAGTTAGACTGTGGGAAGAATTGAACCACCAATAACGAACACACCTCGTAAAACTGCGCCTAATTTCCGTTGCCGCAATAATATAAAAGATTTGCATAATAAATTTTTAATAAGGCGCTAATGAAGAACAATGGATGATAGCCATCGTGATTGATATCAGGCTTATACAAAATAGTTAAGTGTTGGTCACACCCATTGGCTCGTTTGAATAAGAACTGGAAATGGTAATATTTCTGGTATCAAGTTCACAATGTAGAAGCCAAAAGAATTATTAACTGGATTAGAACCAAAATTTCCTGAAATAAAACGATTTGAGCAGAATTTTCAAGAAGGTATAAAGATAAATACAAAAAAATTGCGGATTGGTACTTTATATTTTCCATTTTAATTGAATTATTATTTTATGTATAAGTAAATTTAACACTATTTGTAGCTGAGACAACCTGTTTAAGTAACTGTCACTTATTTATAATTATAACTTTATAAGGCAATTAATTTTTTAAATTCAACACCTGAATGTATTTATTAGTGTGTATGTAGCAGTTATTTATTATCTGCTTAATATTGAGATGTGATCACAAAGAATAAAAACGTTTCGGATCAGAAAGTGCAAAGCAAAGTCGATTGAGCGTATATCAAGATTAACAATAGATTTCTCATTAATGAATTAAATAAGCTCGAATGATCATAAAAAGACTTTCACGTGCTTTCTCGAATCAAATTTAAGAAACAATAATAAAAATTATTTGCGGAATAACAATTGAATTGCTTTCTGTAGGAATGAACCAACGATTTTATTGTCGTTGGGTTATCTTTATTCCTTCGTTACGAGGTATATTCAAACAAATCAGCCGACACGAAATTATCTCACATTTAATATGTTGTTGGGTGTTATCTGTTGAATTTAACATAAACACAAGGCGGATGCTGTCAGAAAGTGAACAAAAAGTTGATATATCTTGTTGGATGATGGTCCGAGTCGGCGGCGCCTTTCTGACAGAAAAATAGCCTCTTGAACCCCTCGGAGAGTTCCATCAAGTTTGGAACCCACGATTCTAATAAATTCAATAAGCCAGTCGACCCCGACTGTATTATTGTTCATCATGTGAATTATTTTCAAGGGTTGTAGACGTTGTTACTTCTCTGAACCGGTTTTGGACTTTTAATTTCTTAGCTGAAGGAAGCTTCTCATTCCTTATTCAAAAGTTGAAGGTTTATGTTTACCTTATAACGTCGTTGATGGGAACTTAACACGATGTATTTTTTAGTTTACGAGCTAATATCCAAAGGAACGATTTTAGTTCTATGGAACCCAGAAACGAGGTCAAGGTACAAATTGCCCTCCAACAGAAAAAAATATAAAGTATTGAGTAACCAAGACTCTTATTAGATAACCGTATTTTTTCTAAAGGTTATATCTACAGGTTAGCACCTTCATTTATCTTCATCTCGTTAATAACTTAATTATTTCGGTATTTCCGCACTTTTTGTTTCAAAACAAATTACTTCTGACGATACATCAAAAAACGCATCGAAATCACTTCGGTTGCGTCAATTTCCTGCTTCTAAATCATATTTGTTAACCACTCATGTCACATAATTACAGATTCCGACTCACTGAATGTATTATAAAATATTTGTGGTCGGCTTGAAATAATTTGTGGCCTATTGTTTCCCATTGTTATA